GAATTATTAAGTAATTTTGAAACATATGTTTTGTAATTTTTAATCGTAGAATATATGTTACTTCAACTTTGGCTTAATTTGTCAATAATTGCCAACAGCTGAAGGGATGATGTAAACCCGGCTGGGGTCCATGCAGGTAGCAAAAGTACTGTAAGTCCCCATGGGCCCTTGTATGTAACTTTGGTTGCTGGTGATCACTAGCCAATTTTGATAATGTATTGTTCCGAATATTCACAGTTTTATGGTAACACACTAGTCATAAATCTATACCTGTTATAATCTAGTGCTTTTACTGTCCTTCGTCGACAGATTTTATGGATTTCATTCTCATGGTTTCACGAAAGTGATAAACGTCTGAGACCTGCATCACTTCGGGTATTCCCCCCACATAAAGCTGACACGCCGTGGTATAACTCGGTATTGTTCAAAGCAGTGTTAGTCACGATATCGATATGGCTGAAATATTGCCGATGTAACTTAAAATTTTAACTCACTCACTCTTTTCATCCCACATTATCATGGGGTCCGCGTTAAGATGAATCTTTCGAAAATGTTTTCAAAATCTTACAGCAGATAAAATGCCACCTGGGGTGACTTACCTTGACATCAATTCCTAACAAGGTATCATTGCCACATTCTTTGGTTAGGCGACACTTTTTTTGTTTCTTGGTTTACGGATTTCAAACTCATTTCAAAAGTGAGGCAGGCCAATTAAAAACAAAAAACAAAAAAAACCTCTCACGTTTTTTTTACCTGAATTTTGTCCTAAAAAGTTAGGTAGGTATGAAAAAAAATATCCTGGCGTAATAAAAGTAAAATAACTCAATTTTTCAAGAACATTTTTTTTATATCCCTGGCACTCAGCTTGTGCAAGGATGGCAACATAACAATATTCATGTCATGGGTGGAAATGCATGAAAGACGCTGCTATTTTGGCAGCATGGGCAACGTTTAACTCTTTCAACACCAGCCAACCAGAAGATTACTGCTGTGACACCAAGTTCCCAGAGACTGTTGTGTGATAGATGAAACCAACATGTATCAAGGAATTATCTGCTGAAATTAACATCTTTGCTACTACATGTTTGGCCATACACTATTTGAAAGGTCTAATTAATCCTATCGTTTATAAATATGAAAGTTATGTGTATTTCATTATTTAAATAATTCATGAACAACTAAATAAAGTTTGTTTTAAATAAATAATAATGTAAGCTAAAACATTCATAACGTCCAAATTTAGCGCAAATCTAACGATTTTTTCGGCAAATATAAGAATTCATAAAATCCACTTACCTATTTCTTTTTAATTTTCATTTGTTTACGTTGTTGGAACATTATTTTAAAAAGAATTACAAATAATATCTGTCATCACCCATTTCCCGATGATAGTGGCTGTCCGCTCACTAACATGAGGAAATACCTCGGTTTTCAAAGCTTCGTATGAATAACACATACGTCCTGCCATGTCAGTATACATTAAAAAAACTTCTATTGTTTCACCGACAAAATCTGCTACAAGGTTCGTGATTGGTCAAATTTAAGCACGTGACCTAAGGCAGCTAATCAAATTACAGCAACGATAATTTTCAGACTTTGGCGAAAGGTTTGGGTTAAATCATGTTATTCTGAACATTTTAGCATGAAATCGCGATCTATATTAAAAATATGGAACTTTATGGATGCATAGAGCTAAGTTACGAGCTGTGACAAAGATTTCTTATGCATATATTTTGGCATTAAGACATCGTGTCCGAGCCGAGAAATCGAGGCGACGAAAGCCGAGATGTCATTTGACTTACGATATGCGATCGCACGAAAAGTTGGAAATAATACTTTTATAGATATATTTTTGATGATTTTATTACTTTGTAAATAAAGACGTTTCAGCGCGTGAAACGTCTTTATTTTGCTATTTGACATGTTCGATGAGGACCCGTTGTCGAAGTGTGCCCGAGAATTTTATTTTCAATAACATTGCGGGAAATAGTGTCAAGTGAATACATTTTTAATCTATAGATAAAAAAATGATAAAATCAAATGGAATACGTATTTCAGACATTGTGAATTGTGATAGATTTAATAAATGAATGATATGACAAGTAGGTTAATATAATTATAAACTATTTTGACGATACTTGGACGGTCTACCGTGCGGTGTGACTTGTGGCTTTGAACGGCCAACAGTGTTGAAATAGTTAAACTGGTCACCACTGCGCTTTGCGTTGACAAGCTTTGATGGTATTAGAGAAGGTTCCCAGCAAGAAATATCAGAGTGACTTCCCTTTGCTTTCCGCTTGACGAGGAAAAGAAATCTTTTTTAGTTTGAACTTTTTGTCGAAAAGATCGGCGGTAATAAAAAAAGGGTAATTTTCATTTTTATTTTTTTTTAACATTTGGACTTTGAAAGAGCGGCGCATCCGTAAACCAAGAAATAAAAAAAAATGTCGCCTTATCTACAAATGTGCGATTTGTCAGTGAATATTTTAACCACGCTGCATATTGCAGTTAGATAATGTCTCATAAAACTTAAATTGTTTAACATAATTTGCATAAAATGGAAATATAAATAAAAATAACTAATTCTAACAGATGTGTCCTGGAATGTTGTGGTTTTCTGTGTGAGCAATATTCCAGCTGCTCCGGACTTTGGGGTCCACATGTCACAACTTTTGAGGCATAAATCGAGCACTCTCTTTCCACAAATATTTCAAAGAGCATGATACGATTCGTGTTCAAAATTTGTTTTGTTAAGGTTTCAACATTCAGGCCTTAGTAAAGCTTTCAAAAGGTTTCACGGTAGACATGTGGATGACATTTCAAAATTTGACGCATGAATGACAAAAATGATGTCTGATGGAAACCCCTATTTTGACTTGTACCATATGTCCCTGTGTATTTTAAGGTGAACAAGCAGCAGAATATCTTCACTTGTACACAGCAAGCGTAATGTGTTTCTTAAATGAACATATCGTTTTAAGTTCAACAAATTCAGTAAATGCCCTATCGTGTCACTTGATTGTCTGGTTTGTTGGCAGGACTCTTGCTGTGCAGCGTCAGGGAACTAACAAATATTTACTTTCTTTTTGCAAATTATGTGAGTGGCTTGTGCTACCAGTGGGACTGGACATGCCTAACCTTTTCTAGAACACCCAGTGTCATCACCGTTTTTCTCTGAACCAATTATACAATTTTTCAAAGCTATTTTGTCTTTTACGCAAAGTGGAATGTGTTTTCGAGGTATAATCAAGACTGACTATCCTATGGCTGTGACGTTTTATATTTATGACTATGACTGATGCCACAGAATAAACTGACCGTTTGGTGAACACCTGGTAGTATCGCTATTTGATAATCATTCATCATATAGTCATACAAGTGACTTTTCCTTTAATGGAGCTGAATTATGATCATGAAAAGTTTTTTTTCGTTTCTATTAGCTCACCGGGTCCAAAGGACCAAGGTGAGATTTTATGCCATACCGTTGTGTCCATCGTCCGTTCGTCCGCCCGTCGTCCGTACGTCAACATTTTTTTCAAACGACTTTTGGTTCTGTACCACTTGTTTGAAATTATCGAAATTTGACTGGAAGCATTTCTTGGCAGTGTGGAATCAAAATTGTACAAATGGTGTGGCTGACCCCCAAAGGGGCTGAGGAGCGGGGCCAAATAGGGGTAATTTGGCAATATTGCTTTAAAAGACTTCTTCTCTGTATCTAAGAGATAGATATCAACCATATATGGTTGGAAGCATTCTCCAGTGGTTAGAATTCAAAATTGTACAAATGGAAGGACTTATCACCCCCCAAGGGGCTGTGGGGCGGGGCCAAATATGGGTAATTTGGCGTTATTGCTTTAAACGACTTTTTATCTGAGAAAAGAGATCGACATCAACCATATTTAGTTGGAAGTATTCTCGGGCTAGACCCCCTAGGAGCTGAGGGGCAGGGCCAAAAAAGAGTTTATAACTTTGACACATTTATGATCCCCACCGTATAACAATACCTTCAAATGCTGCGTATAATAAAATGAATGCACATATGCTACAAGGACTGGCCCTTTTGTTTATCTGTCCGGGACTCCCAAAGGAGTAATAACCTTGACCAAAACATGCAAACCGATATTATCCCCACCCTATAATAAACAGATACATTGTACACTTTTGTTTGTTTTAAAGAGAATAATACACTTATGCCAATAGGATTCGCCCTGGGACCCAGCCTTGCCTCTGGAAACTTAGATCCTGGATCATAACATGGAAACGGTTCAGATATTTATGCAACATTTGTATCTAGAGAAGTACCTGTTCATGCTGTCAGATTTGCCATCCACCCCTTTTAAATCCTGACAGAGTCAAAATTACCAAATATTTGCAGTATTATATACATGTACCATTCAAATGTATATTTTGTCATGATTGCGTAAATATCCCGGTGAGCGATAAAGGCCCTTTGGCCTTTTGTTTATTCATTTATTCATATAAATAGCATGTGATTGATATCATAACAATATTAATCCGACCTATATCACATATTTCAATCCAAAAGTTCAAAAGTCGAAGCTCCAAAATGGAAACAAGAACGACAAAACCACTCAGCTATCGGTTTCAGTGAATGAAAAATACGTTTCATCTTAGTAGACCTAAGAGAGGCTTTATCATACCTTGGCCTCTGTGTTTGTTCATTGTTGAATGTAAATGTGTCCCAAAAATGTAACCCAATGCGTCTGTGTCTGTGTGGTTCTGGCGAAGATGGTGGCACACAAATGTAAGTGCCAACATGATAAACACCTACACGTCTATATCCCAAAATTCGCAGATCCGAATACTATCAGGATACTGTTCATAACTTAATCTTCTTCTGGCCCATTTAATTTTAATTTATTTTTATTTAATTTTTTTATTAAGTCCTGGATAAAAATTGTTCACTCGATTTCCTGACACGATGTGTTGGCTCTATGACCACGCAAATTATCCAAGGTGCCTTCAATAGTGCTCCTAAATCCATTATTGTAACCTCTTTTATTAACAAAACATGTTCTAAAATACAGAGTGTTCTATATTTGAAGACAAATGAAGTTATTGCGGTTAAGACTCGATTTGACAAGTAGGTGTGACAGTTCGTATTCTGAACATCAATCCAGTGTTAACGAATTTTTCTGTGAGGAAGTGTCTGTTTGAAAGAGTCATTAACACCAGCCTGGACTCCATACACCGCCGTAGTATTCAGGGTTTGCTGCAGGAACACCAGCATTGCTCTGCGCCGGAACACGGGACTTCTTCCAGTTCTCCAGCCTCTTCTTCATCATGTCCACTAACTCAGGGTACGTCGCTGAGAGGTCGAAATGTTCAGTTGGATCTGCAGTAATGTTGTACAGCATGAAGGGAGGGAAGGTTTGGTTATCAGCTTCATAGACATCTTCGTCAATTCCCACATGTGGCAAAGGAGCCCAGCCATTGTGATCACCCGGACTCCCTTGCATGAGCTTGAGATCTCCGTACCTTACGGCAGCTGCTTCCCGCTCGTCATATATGTTGTAGACGAACTCATTCCGTTTGGTGGGCCCACCATTGATGAGCATGTCGTACTGGCTGACTCCGTCCATGTTGGGGTCTGTGTTCTCTCCACCAGCCAGCTCCACAAACGTCGGGTACCAGTCCACAGCATGCATCATTCCAGTGTTAAGATAACCCGTCTTCTTCAGAAGGGTTTTACTGTAGATGAATCCTGTGCCTTTCGTTCCCCCTTCCCACAGAGTATTTTTAGCTCCTCGTAAAGGCAAGTTATTAGCAGCAAGAAATGTAGGACCGCCATTATCGGTTGTAAAGACTAACAAAAGATTGTCCATGAGACCTTTGCCTTCTAAAGCCTTCGTAATGTTTCCCACAGCTTCATCCAAAGCACTCACCATTCCACAATAGATTCTTCTCTTTATGTTTTCTATGTTCTTGTACATGTTTTCATATTTAGCTGGAACTTGATGAGGTGTATGAACAGACTGGAATGGAAGGTATAGATAAAGTGGTTTACTTTTGTCGTGGTTTGTAATGATTTCAACAGCCCTGTTAGCAAACACATTTGCAGAATAGGTCCCATTGGCGTCTCTATATGCAGTCTTGTTGAGGTGAAAATCCAGTCCTACTTCACCTTTGACTTCCTTCATCTTTCTCAGGTGGGTAAAATAGTCCTCTGAACCAGTGTAAAATCCAAGATAGGAGTCAAAGCCTCTCTCTGTGGGTGTATATTTCCAGTTACAGAATCCAAGATGCCACTTCCCAACCATATGAGCAGCATAGCCGAGTTGTTTCAGTTTCTGTGGAATTGTTATTAGATTGGCTGGCATGTATTTCGCTGCGTCGTCGTCGATAACGCCATCCTGTAGTCCAGTGTGATAGGGGAAATATCCTGACATGAAGCAGTTTCTGGAGGGTGAACACAAAGGCTGTACGTAAGAAGAGTTGAGGATGACTCCAGCTTTGGCCAGTCTGTCCAGGTTAGGGGTGATCATTTGAGGGTTCCGAAACCCAACATCATTCCAGCCGAGGTCATCCGCGACAATGAATACAATGTGAGGTTTCTCAGCATACGCACAAGTGAAAAAAATCAGAACAAGGAACACAGTTGTTAAAAGATTCATTTTGATTCTGCGTAATGCAAGGAGTGTGCTGCTATTTAACGTATTCTGACAGATAACATACATCGTGACGAACCTAGATCTTGCATTCCTCCCGGTGAGATAAAATACAACCTAATCTTTAAGTTCGAGATGTAGACCACTTTATTTATGTTGTTTTGAGCAAAAAATGCATTTACATTATCTATAATTACATTCAAAACATATTTTCATCGAATTGAAAGAACTCAATCAGCCAATTCTACTTTACCTGTGGGAATACTACATGCTTGTATCTCATGTATGTTCAATGCTATACATAAAGATTGAACACGTTAAAGTCATTTGTAATGCGATTTGTAGTCCCAGCTTCGTTAGTCTTGGATGTTCTGCAATGCCTGTTCCAGTAAGACTTGTACAAAGTTAAACTCAGTACCTCACTGTTGGATATCTTGTTTAAGACAACGTAACCCGACCGACCATTCAATAGTGTTTCAGCAGCTGTTTGAAGACATGCAATTCTTTTCCTTGAAAGAAGAAGGCGACAATCTTTTTATACTTTTTCACTCCCACTCTTACACTTACGCCGCACTCAGCAATATTCCAGCTATATGACGGCGGTCTGTAAATAATCGAGTCTGGACCAGACAATCCAGTGATTGACATCATGAGCATCGATCCACGCAATTAGGATACGGTGACATGCATCAACCAAGTTGTCGAGCCTGACCACCTGATCCCGTTTGTCGCCTCTTACGAGAAGCATAGTCGCCTTTTAGGACAAGCGTTGGTTGCAGAAGTACCTATTCTACCCCAGAACACGATATGTTGAGATTGACAGGTATTGGTTTTAATCACCATTAATCATTTTGAAGTCCTTTGAATACTAAGTGTAATTGTATTTAGGATATTCATCTTACATGGGGATAATAATAATGTAGAGGGGGCAAGGGCCCCATCAATGCGGTTATTACCAATCCCTGTTTCAACTACAGATATCTCGAAGTAGACAACTGTTGTCCCGAATATACTGACCATAATTGACCTATGCTCACATTATATTGCATAAACTGTGAGGACTTGTTATTTCGTTTCTGATAGGCCAGGAAACGTTGCCTTTTTGGGTGGGGTAGGGGGTGTTACTATGTACCCATGTCGTCAATCCCGAAGGATTCACGTGAAACCAGTAACCGTGAAATGTAACCGCCTGATTGCCCCGTCTGTAACCTGACTGTTGAAAAGTTTCAGTTTATGTTTATTTGCCAGGTATATAACAAAATAAGAATGGACTATTTACCCGCCTGGTCATTTGCATGCATTTTCCACCCCACATTAGGCTCACACGCCGTGATATAACCGGAATACTGTTCAAAGCGGCGTTAAACCCAACTCATTCACACTCTTAATCCTTCATGTCATGGGGGTCGGCGTACATATGATTCTTTGGAAAATGTGTTCAAGATCTCACAGCAGATAAAATTCCACGTGGGTTGAGTTACTTTGACATAAATTCCTTCAGAGGTATGAGGCTATCAATTTCACATTCTTTGCTTGTCTACAAATATGTAACCTCATTGCATGTCTGATAATACTTAAAATGTTTTCGACTTATGGGATAGGTCTAGATGTAAAAATATGGGTATAGGAATATTCCTTTCGTCAACATGATAGTGAATTCCAGCTTTACCCCATTCCCCCATTAACCTATGCTTGTTGTGAGATGTGACGTAATAGGTCAGGTGGTCAGGTTCGGAGACATTGGTTGGTTGCGGGTCATCATACCCAGACTGAGTGGTTCATTGCTCATGATATTAACCAATCACTGGTTCAGACTCCATGGCAGATCGCCATATACATGGAATATTGCGGCGGTAAACGAAAAAAAGAAGAAAGAACAAAAGACTTTAAATGGACCAGTAGGTAACTTAGGGTAATTAACGTGCCTTCACATTAGGCTTTACAAATATGTTCATGACCCCGTGGTATATATCTAGATGATAAAACATGGTTATCGGGATACACTTTGTGCCGACGTTGTTCAACATGTTGTTTATATCACATCTGTTTGCTTCATGGAATGGACGATACCCAAAGGCTGGAAGACCCTTAAGAAACATGTGACCTAAACACGTCACAATGAGATTCCTATTTGGCCCAGAAGTGTTATAACTTACACTACAACTTATAACTGAACAGAAAAATACATAATGGGTGATGTAATGGGTAATCCCGCGATGCTTAAATATATTCAATAATGTAGGCCTGGTTTGGCATTCAGCAACGTTTTTACTGGACACCCGATGGCTACCTTAAATTTGCATGGCCGTCTCTTGATCTGTTTGGAAGATGTTAAAAGCTGGGACTGAATTCTAAAGTTATGTGGTGGGGTAAAATGGGCTTTAACGTCATCTATATTATAACACTTACATTGAGACTTGCCAGCCCACTGAGATACCATGCCGCAGTTTAACGGGAATTCCCCACTAAGTCACAGTGTACTGACTCCGAGCCGACCGGTCCTTATTTTAGCCCCTTAAAGCCGCGCGCCAGGCAGGGTAACAATAAGTACAATAGTCTAACCTATTTTGGTATGACTCGGGCGGGGATCGAAACCCAGGCATTCCGCTCTCCGGGCGGACGCTCTACCACCAGACCACGGAGGCGGTCCGATACTGGAAATATTAATCTCTGTTGTTGTGTTGTGGGCACATATTACAGACATTCGCGTCTAGGCTATTATATGAAGTAAAATATAGATATAAATTTCAAAAAAACTATTTCTGACAGATGTGTCCTCGAAAGCTGTGGTTATCTGTGTGAGCAATATTCCAGCTGCTCCGGACTTTGGGGTCCACATGTCACAACTTTTGAGGTTTAAATCGAGCATGCTGTTACCACAAAGCTATCAAAGAGCATGATACGACTCAAACTGATGGAAATCCCTATTTTGACTAGTGCCATACGTCCCTGTGTATTTTCAGATTGTCTCTCCTTTGACGCTTTTCTTCACTTATAAGCAGCAGGCGTTATATATTTCTAAAATGCACATATCGTTTTAAGTTTCAACAAAAACAGTAAATGCGCTTTCATGTCACTAGATTGTCTGGTTTGTTTACAGGCCGCCGCCGCATGGCAGGACTACTGTTGTGCAGCGTCAGGGAACCAACAAATATTTACTTTTTTTTTGTAAATTATGCGAGTGACGGCTGGTACCAGCTGGGCTGAATATGCTAAACCATTTCTCGAAAACCTCGTGTCATCCTTTTATATAATTTTCTTGTGCATGTTTTCATATTTAGGTGGAACAAGAGGTGCATGTACAGACTGGAATGGAAGGTACAGATAAAGTGGCTTACTGTTGTCAAGGTTCTCAATGATTTCAACAGCTCTGTCCGCAAAAATATTTGCAGAAGTGCACCAGAGTAATATCCAAGATAGGAATCAAAGCCTCTCTCTGTGGGTGTATACCTCTCGTTACAGAATCCAAGATGCCACTTTCCAACCATGTGAGCATCATAACCAAGTTGTTTCAGTGTTTGTGGTATTGTTGTTAGATTGGCCGGCAGGTGTTTTGCTGTATTGACCAATATAACGCCATCTTGTAGTCCGGTGTAATAAGGGAAATATCCCGACATGTCGAGCATAAAGGCTGGACGTAAGAAGAGTTGAGGATGACTCCAGCTTTGGCCAGTCTGTCCAAGTAAGGGGTGATCATTTGAGGGTTCCGAAATCCAACATCATTCAAGCCGAGGTCATCAGCGACTATAAATACAATGTGAGGTTTATCTGCACATTCACAGATAAGAAACGTCAGAAGAATAAAGACAGCTCTTTGGAGATTCATTTTGCTTCTGCTCAATGTGGTACATTGTGCTTCCATTTAAAGGTTTCCAATAGATAACGTGATTTTCGTGACCTGCTTAGAGCATGAACTCTCTCTGTGTGAATATAAAAAAAAATTACTCTCAGCATTTCAACGACATTTGTTGTTGCCTAGCCACGGACTGTCTTACATTTTATGGGTGTTTCAAAGCAACAACTTCCACAAGTGCACTGTTAATGCTGTACAGGACACAAATCCTCAAACATTATTTCGTATATGTTGTAGAGGTACTGACCTCACTATGGAGAAGAACAGCTGCCACTGGTACCTTTTCGTCAACTGTCAATATTACTTCACTACTGGCAGTATGATCGGTGTGTCTTCACAGAGTACATACAATTCACAGGGGCACTTATTGCTCTTTCTTATACAAGGGTGTTTTAGAGTGAGTGAGTAGAGTTTACCACGCCGCTAAATAATTTGTGTCAGTTTGATGGGAGAATAAAACCCTATGTAAAATAGGAAACACACTGGCTGGGTACGATGTTGATAAGCTACCAATAGTAATTCTCAGGGTGAATCTGCGATATGATCCCACGATCGTTATTTCGAGGCACGACAAAGGGACGTAAAGTTTGCCTTATTTGGCCAAATGTGATCCTGTCAAGAAAATGGGCATTTCTTCTCAAATGTAGACCTAGACTAACACAATGTTAAATCTGTTAAATTAAGCCTGCATCCAGTTTGAAAACAGTAGTATAGAAGTGAGTAAGTGAGGTTTTACGCCACTTTTAGCACTATTCTAGTAATTGCAAGGCACTGGACACCAGAAATGGGCATCATAAATGTGTGGAATAAAACCGAATCTTTAAGGTGAAACTTTAACAACCTTATATTAGCAGAAAGAATTTGAGACAATTGTAATTAATACCATGTGGATTCTAAAAAAACGTGAATGATTGTGTGTGATTTTAGTACAGCAAAGTAAACACAAACAAACTCAGGACGAAGCTGAGATTCGAGACCACGTCCCCTTGGTTGTTTTGCAACTTTATTGTTTGTCTAATAAACTCCGTCCGGCTATATGACGGCCATCTGTAAATAGTTGAGTCTGGACCAGACAATTCCATGATTGATATCATCATTAGCAACCAACTCAGCAGTATGGCGAACAGATCCTATTAGTCGCCTCTTTCACCATTCATGAGTTCCTGAAGACCAATTCTAACAGGATCTTCACGGGGATGCACTTATCCATACATTCATCTATTATTTTTATTTATCTTCAAGGAATCACTAACATGTTCGGATGCGAAAATTATATCTTGGGTGTACAATCTCAGCGTACTTTGTATCAACACCACCCAGGACTCCATACACCGCCGTAGTATTTTGGGTTCGCTCTTGGTACTGGAGTAGGATCCTGGGCTGGGACACGGGTTTTCTTCCAGTTGTCCAACCTCTTCTTCATCATGTCCACTAGCTCAGGGTACTTGGCTGAGAGGTCGAAATGTTCAGTTGGATCTGCAGTAATGTTGTAGAGCATGAAGGGAGGGAAGGTTTGGTTATCAGCTTCATAGACACCTTCGTCAATTCCCAGATGTGGCAAAGGAGCCCAACCATTGTGAATTCCTGGACTTCCTTGCATGAGTTTGAGATCTCCATACCGTATTGCAGCTGCTTCCCGCTCATCGTAGATGTTGTAGACGAACTCATTCCGTTTGGAGGGTCCACCATTGATGAGCATGTCGTACTGACTGACTCCGTCCATGTTTGGGTCTGTGTTCTCTCCACCAGCCAGCTCCACAAACGTCGGGTACCAGTCCACAGCATGCATCATTCCAGTGTTGAGGTAGCCTGTCTTCTTCAGAAGGGTTTTACTGTAGATAAATCCTGTGCCTTTTGTTCCCCCTTCCCACAGAGTATTTTTGGCTCCTCGTAAAGGCAAGTTATTAGCAGCACCAAATGTGGGACCACCATTATCGGTTGTAAAGACTAGCAAAAGATTGTCCATGAGGCCTTTGTCTTCTAAAGCCTTCGTAATGTTTCCCACAGCTTCATCCAAAGCACTAACCATTCCACAATATACCCTTCTGTTTTCGGTTTCTATATTCTTGTACATGTTTTCATATTTAGGTGGCACTTGAAGAGGTCCATGTACAGACTGGAATGGAAGGTATAGATAAAGTGGCTTACTGTTGTCGTGGTTCTCAATGGTACTAACAGCTCTGTCTGCAAACACATTTGCAGAATAGGTCTCATTGGCGCTTCTGTTGATGGTCAAGTTGAAGCGAAAATCCAGCCCCACTTCATCGCTACTTTCCTGTCTTACGTGAGTATAGTAGTCCTCCATTCCAGAGTAGTATCCAAGATAGGAGTCAAAGCCTCTCTCTGTGGGTGTATACTTCTCGTTACAGAAGCCAAGATGCCACTTTCCAACCATGTGAGCATCATAGCCAAGTTGTTTCAATTTCTGTGGTATAGTTGTTAGATTGACCGGCAGGTGTTTTGCTGAGTTGACCAATACGACGCCATCTTGAAGTCCAGTGTGATAGGGGAAATATCCCGACATGAAGCAGTTTCTGGAGGGCGAGCACAGTGGCTGAACATATGAAGAGTTGAGGATGACTCCAGCTTTGGCAAGTCTGTCCAGGTTAGGGGTGATCATTTGAGGATTTATATATCCAACATCGTTCCAGCCGAGGTCATCAGCAACTATAAATATTATGTGAGGTTTCTCTGCACATTCACAGTAAACGAAAGTGAGAACAATAAAGACAGCTCTTTGGAGAGTCATTTTGCTTCTGCTCAATGTGGTCTATTGTGCTTCTATTTATAGGTTTCCAATAGATAAGGCACGTCGTGACTGGCCTTCGACTTGCATTCTTTCTGTGTGATTACCAGCTGCTCCCCTTGTGGTATATATATACATATACCACAGAATCTACGCAGATGTTACATGACTTTTTTCACAAAGCCTGCAAGTGAAACGATAGCGCCTATAATACATGGAATTCTTCAATCTGAGATGTTTTGAAGTGGACAATGTTAATACTACTGAGCATTATTGTATTTCATATTAAGTTAAACATACAGTTCTCATATGTGTACTTGTGCTTTCCGTTCATTGGACCCAAATACACAGTAGGAGAAAGAAATATATGTGCAAGAATGCATTAACACTTCCTCCAGAAAAAGTCTATACCTCGTAGCTGTTTATGTTATGTATTAGACAGGGGGGAGGACCTAGTATCATCACTATTTGACAGTGTATCATGAACATAAAGTCGGATTCGTATAATGTTGTGAGTGTGAGTGAGTTTGGTTTAACGCCGCTTTTACGCTTTTAACAGTATTCCAGTTATATATATGGGAGGAAAGCCTGAAGTGATGCAGGTCTCGGACGTTTACCACTTCGGTGAAACCCACGAGCACGGGTATGGTGCTGTCAAACCTAGAAACATAATCGGGTCAAACCGGGATTCGAACTCGCAATCATAGGTTTCTGGTGTTTCCATGGGACGCAACTCTGCACAGCGAATCCCGGCGCCTTAGACGACCGGGCCACCCGTGCCCCCTCGTATAATGGATGAAATTGTTGAAGCGAATCATGAACACATGCTCATGATAAAGTCGGAATCGTATAATGGACTCCGATGAAAATGGAAAGGGTTTTGTCACTTTTTATTACACTTTTACAGCTGCAAATCTTTATCTTGAGCGTCATTGTATTCTATTACAAGGTATTGACGAGACACATTGTACCTATATGGGGAACGAGCGAATGCTTTAACCATAAGGCTACCCCACCAGTATAAGAGAAGGGCGAGTGGAGACAATTTCGGTTTGACTAGTTTTAGCATTATTCTGGATTCAAGTACTGAGGCAGGCCTCTTTCAAGACATCCCACAGTGACAATATTCTACACATGTGAGAGCACACTAACATTAATCCTAGGGTCAGTTACTAATTGCTGCTAAAACGTATTAGCCCCGGTGTATGTATGGTATTTTTTATTGTTAACCTAAAACTTTGTTCTTAAATATAATTTATTGATTTTTCATTGATCATTTGTAGTCATTTATTGATTTCACATTTACGTTTTGTAGATATCGATTAATGGGTTAACCTCTGATTTCCAATTTGATTTGTCGTGGATTTGTCTGATCCAGATTATACAGACAAAGGTGATAGAACGCTAAGGCCGATGGCTGTGGCTTTATACAGCATTCTGAGTTACTCACATATTTGACTTGATTAAGTGTTGCGTTGATACGTTCTGATTTTCGTAAATCAACCATGACCCGCATGACTCTTTATACATGTTGGAAATGTCAATTAAAATGATTTCTTACCCGCATTTACTGGTGCAATTCATTAAAGAAAGCCAAACCCCAATCTGAATCTCGCCAATCTGGTTATACAGAAACCCTATGTATACTATTAGAAGAGTGAGTGAGTGAGTGAGTGAGTGAGTGAGTGAGTGAGTGAGTTGGGTTTAACGCCGCTTTTAACATTCTATCGCGTCGTGTCAGCTTAATGTGGGAGGAAAGCCCGAAGTGATGCAGGTCTCAGACGTTTACCAATTCGGTGAAACCCACCAGCACGGGTATGGTGCTGACAAACCTAGAAACATAATTTGGGCGACTATTAGAAGAATAACAGACACACGCAATTTATTGATCAGGGTTACACTATACAAAGCTTGAGTAAAAATATCAAAAAGTTTATTGTAGACACGTGGAGAACATTTCCAAATTTTGAGCATCAGTTACAAAAGTGATGTCTGATGCAATTCCCTATTTTAACTTTACGGCGTGTCCCAATGTATTTTCAGGTGAACAATTGACTTGCGTTTAAACGTTTTCCTTTGCTTATAAGTACTAGAATCACTTTACCTTGTATACAGCAGGCGTAATTAAAACTAATTATATTGTTTCACTTGCCTTTGCATGTGTTTGTAACGGGTGCCACCGATGGGGCAGTAAACACTCTCCTGGTATTATCACTATTTGAAAGTGATTCATAAACACATGCTCATGAGATGTGTCGGAATTGACATTCGACTCTCGAGAGTTTTTATAAATATGGAAAGAGTTTTGTCGTTTATATTTAAGTTTCGACAAAATCAGTAAATGTGCTGTCGTGACATTGGGTTGTCTGGTCCATCACTTTATTGTCTGGTTTCTTGCCAGGCCGCCATTGCACAGAAGAGTAGTCCTGTGTGGCGTCGGGCGACAAATGCACATTTAATTATTCATGCAAATTGTGTGAGTGGCGGACATGCTTACTCTTAACTGGTGCCATCCATCTCTGATTTTGAGTGATCATTTAAATATTTTCACAACTATTTTACCTTTTTCGCCCAAAGGAATCAGTTTCGGTTGATACTTGAGACTGGCTATTCTCTGGAGTTTTAAATATGCATGTGTTTGTAACGGGTGCTACCGGTGGGACAGGATACGCTAATCTTTTCGCGTACACGTGGTATCAACAGTATTTGATAGTTATTCATAAACACATGCTCATGGTATAGTCGGAATCGTACAATTGATTTATAATGATTATGGAAGTGTTTTGTAGCTTTTATTGTATGTACCGCTGTCTTGATTGACCATCACGATGTAGATGTCACTGAAGGATGGAGTACGGCAGTTATGGATTAAACAATCATATATCGATATATCGATGAAAGAATATAATGGCGTATTGATGCATGAAGTAATGACACCATTTGTAAAGAAATGAAATGTTAACATTGAATTACTGCCTTGTCGGTGACTTGTGAAATATATCAGTCATAACTTATCATAACTCTTAGCCATGCAACCCATGTTTGCCGTAAAAGGCGACTATGCTTGTCGTAAGTGGCGACAAACGGGATCGTGTGGTCAGGCTCGCTGACTTGGTTAATGCATGTCATCGATCCCAATTGCGTGGATTAATGCTCATGATGTCAATCACTCGACATTTTTACAGACCGCCATCATATAGCTTGAATATTGCTGAGTGCGGCGTTAAACAACAAATAAACAAAGTGGCTTCGGGAAAAATAGAAGTACTATTGATCGTTTAGTATGATTAGAATCCTTTGTTAAAAATGCTATTTTAAAAAAACAACACGTAGTATCAATTTTCTTTGATTTCGAGAAAGCATACGATACTACCTGGAAACAAGGCATTTTAAAGGATTTACATGATTTTGGTTTGAGAGGTCGTTTACCTCATTTTATATCACAATTTTTAACACAGTCAGTTTCTCAAGTCCGAGTGGGTTCCACCCTGTCTGACCATTAAAATCAGGATCAGGGTGTTCCACAAGGCAGTATTTTGTCTCACCTTGTTTAGTATCAAAATAAATAGTCTGTCCAAGGTTTAAAGTGATTCAGTGGATGGATCACTTTTCGTGGGTGATTTTAATATTTCTTGTCGTGGTAAAAAATGAATACCATAGAGCGGCAGTCACCAATCTGTCTCAATAAAATTAACAAGTGGTCCCTTGAAAATGGGTTTAAATTTTCTATATCAAAATCTAATTGTATACATTATATATATATATATATATATATATATATATATATATATATATATATATATATATATATGCCGCATAAAGACCCTGAACTATGTTTTAATGGTACCCCTATCAACGTGGTAAAGGAGGCCAAGTTCTTGGGACTTGTTTTTGACATCCATCTAACTTTCTTACCGCATATACAATACCTTAAAGCTAAATGTCTGAAGGCACTCGATTTATTGAAAGTAGTTTCAAATTCTAAGTGGGGAGGGGAGTCATCCCTAAAACAACGCCGTCTGAAACTATACTTACAGTGCGACACTAAATTATAGTCTAATCAGTCAAATCCAGCTTTTGAATGCAGATTTCATCCTCTTTCATACAAAGATCTTTACACTAAGAAATCAACTCTTATTCCGCCACTTGAAATAAGAATTAAATCTGTCGTTTCCGCTGCTAAAATTAACCTACACGATATAGCTCCCATTCAACTTTTATCATCACCTCCTTGGCAAATAGTAAGGCAAACTGTCGACCTGACATTTACTTAACTTAAGAAATCAGACACAAGCCACTAATTAATAAACCAGAATATATGTTGGAATCATTGGTAACACAATGGCCGATGCTGCTGCAAAAGCACAACTTAGTAAATCTGTGACACCACTTCTGATCCCCTACACTGATCATAAACCCGTGATTCGATCTTTCATCCGAAATCTATTGCAAAAGAAGTAGGACACCCAAGTAAGAATTAATAAATCAAATGAAATTAAACCAAATGTCGGTAACACCTACTTGGGTTGTCAGTCCAGATTTGATGAGGTCATTATGCGACGATGTCGTATTGGCCATTCAAAATATACTCATTAATATATATTGAAAGGTGAAGATCGTCCATTTTGTATCCCTTGTGACGAGAGAATCACGGTCAAACATGTCCTGTCTGACTGTATTGATTTTTCCATCAGAAAGGAACAATATTTGAAAGTTTCATTGCTGAAGGATCTTTTTAACAATATCAGCTCTTATTTAATCCTTGTTTTTAAAAAAAATAAATAGAACTGTTGAATAAATTGTGAAACATGTATTTTGTAATTAATAAATGATACTTTAATATTGGTAGAATAAATTGGATAATTAAGATTGTTAGTGGCCTTATCTCGAAGGGGGTTGAAGTAGTGTAAAAGGATTCTCCCCCGAGATAGAACGTAAGTCCACATCATTCACAGTATATTTATTACTGCCACGGTTTTAATCGTAGAATATGTGTTCTTTTA